AGGGAGCGGCGGCAGAGAACGACAGTGGCAGCAGCCAGGAGTAGCCTGGCTCCCCTCCACACAGTGGCATCAGAAGCCGGAGATGGCATGTCAGTGGGATGGCCCTGCCCTCGGACCCTAGGCCTGCTGTCTGCTGTGGTCCTGCCTCTGGGGGCACCTGAGCTGCCTGCATCTCCTGGAGCTCCCAGTACTGAGGGTCTGTCCAGCCCACACAGGGCCATCCAGGACAGCGCCGAGGGCTGGCCTCTCACCTGCCAGCAGCAAGGCCATGGCCTGTGGCTCCAAGGGAAGACATAGGTAGAGTTAATGTCCTCCTCAGTTCTGTGGGACCAGAGTGGTTTCCCTTAAAGTTTTTTGGGACAGAATGGCTGGTTTCAGCCATCAACCTGCGGCAGCAACGATGGGTACCAAGCCCTGATGGAGACAGGTGAGAGGTAGCAAGGCACCCTGAGTCCCTGTTCCTTTTGTGCCTCTGACCCTGGAGGTCACACACTGGAGGTGAAGTCAGAGTTGGCATCGTGGGAAGATGGAGATGGCCAGACAGCCTGCGCTGTCTTAGCAACAACCGGTATAGGTGCATGGCCAGACGCCACTGACCGTGATCTGGCAGGATCTCAGCTGGGGCCTGGGGCTTTGCCGTGATGGTGGCCTCAGCCAGCCCACTCTGACCTCTTCTTTCATCCCGGCCTGTCAGCTGCAAGCTGAGTGGCTGCAGGCAGGAAGTTGAGGTCCTGTGTGTCCTGGCCTCCCCAAGGCCACTGCCATGGCTCAGGGGAACTCTTCTGAGCCCTCAAGGACAAGACACAGGAACACACTCAGCCCAGGGTGCCTGCTGTGTGCGCTGAGCTACTTTGTACCCATTTCGCAGATTGAGAAACCAAGTTCAAGCAGGTCAGGCTTTCGGTAAAGGTCCCACATCTAAGAAACAACAGGAAGGCCAAGGAGAGGGGCCAGGTGCATAGCTGGGCACCTGGAGGCCTGGTCACACCCCTCGGCCAGTTGTCATGAGCTTGGACATGTGGCTGCTTCCTTCGGAGCTCAGACTTTGCTCTTGACCTGCTTTTTGGCTACAACATGGAGATTCTGATCTGCTGATCCTGTTGGTATTTGCAGCCCTTTGAAGTTCTTTCTACATGGGTGCATGCCTTCTCGCTTGTCTTTCCAAGTGTCTCCTCTTTGTGTGTATGTGTGTGTGTGTGTGTGTAGAGCCTGGTTGAAGCTGGGTGCATTGTGCCCTCTGGTGGCCATCCTCTTGTCCAAGCCAGCTGCCCAGGCACTTCCTTTGGGAGCAAAGCTCAGAGCCGATCCCTTGGGAGGGGGTGGAGTGGCGAGGGTCACTAGCCGGACTCAGGAACCCAACTTACACCTTGCAAGTTCTGGTTCACCCCTAGCCCCTGGGCAGGTTTAAATTCTCTGGTGAGGCAGGCTATCTGCAGGAATCTGGAAGAGCTACAGGTGTCGGCCCGGCAGGTGCTGCCTGGGAGTGTCAGGGAGCCAGCTCCTCATTACGAAGCTCCTGTCGGCCAGCACTGGGCCACTGGGCCTCTCTCCGGGCTGTCCCTGAGCTGCTGTCCCCGGTGGACGTTGGATACACATTTGCTGGTCAAAGTTCCATGTGTTTCTGCACGCAGCACCTGTGACTGCCCTGTTTCTTCCTTGGAACACAGAAACCTTGGGCCTCTACAGATCCGTCTGGGCAAAAGCTTCAAGGGGAAAAAGCCCCAGGGTCACCCAGTGTTGGAGGAGGAGCTCTCAGCCTGTGGGGGTGTCCACAGCCAATTACACAGAGATCTCAGGGCTCTTGGGAAATCCTTGGAATACTGGGCTCCCTGCCCTGCGGAGTGGGGGCTTAGCTGGACCCTCCTGGGACCTCCACTCCTTCTCGCTGCCAGGCCTGCCCATAGCTACCCCAATCCAGGAACTTTCCAAGCTCTGAGCCCCAGGGTTTGGATGGGGGGCACAGCAGATGGGTAGTACCGTGGCAGGAGTCCTTGAACCTGAACCCCAAAAGAGGAAGCAGAGTCCAACCCCACGCCAACAGGTTCAGGGGTCCTGGAACCAGCTGGGCCCTTTCTCTGCAGGTGCACAGGAGTGCAGGCACCCCGGGTAACAGGCAGTCCCTGTCACAGAAAGTGACATACTTAATGAGTATGCAGGGTTCATCCAGGGCCTGCATGCCTTCCTGGATGCTCAAGTCCCTTACATAAAATGGAGTGGGACGGGACCAGCATCGCAGCACAGCCAGCTAAGCCACTGCCTGATTCATGTCGTGACCGTTCCACATCCGATCCAGCTTCCTGACCACGTGCCTGGGAAAGCAGCAGAGGGCCTACGTGTTTGGGCTTCTGCATCCACAGGGGAGAACTGGGTGCAGTTTCCACTGTAGTCCTCCGGGAAGTGAACCAGAGGATGGAACATATTTCTCTCTCTACTTCTGCAATTTTGCTTTTCAAATCAATCAATCAATCAATCAGTCTTTATGAAACAAAAATGGCATGGTCTGTGTATAACTCACGGGTGTCCTTGTATGCTTTGTGCCATCTCCCGATGGCTTGTCGCACCTAACACACTGTGAATGGAGGCGAGAGGATGTGGTTTAGGGCATCACGCAAATGAACAAGAACTGGACATTCTGGTAACCAGATGTGGCCTGACCTGGAATTGGCTGAATGCGTGAGTGTACAGGCTAGACGTGCTGTCGTCACAACTCCTCTTGAGTCACAGGGACCATTACTGCCTCCCGCCCAGGTGCAAAGAAGCCAACTGGCACTCTGGGGGCAGAGGAGAGGCCCCTGCTTAGGCTGGGTATCGGGGGACACTGGGGTCGGGAAGGTGGCATTTCAGGGGCTCTCACCCACATGGACGCAGTGGCAGCTGAGGTTACCCCGAAGCACTGTGGACACAAGTAGCAACATAAACAGCAGCTGGATCTAGAAAATGGGCAGGTCTCTATCACAGGACTCTCCTGCCTCACGCACACTCCAAATCCTTCTCATGCCTGAAGGTGATTGCTAAGGCTTTCTCAGGGCGCTTGTCCTAACCCCATCGTGGGCACACCGGTGCCTGTGGGAAGGGCAGGGAGTATAGCACTAGGGTGGCCTCCCTCTGGCCAATGTGTCCAGGCAGTGGCCTTACAGTCCTGAAGAAATACCTGCCACTCAGGCCCAAGGGGGAGGTGTGCTGTGCATGACCAGGGGCCAGGTCACAGTGACCACCTACATCTTGCCACCTTATGGTCATTTGAGGCATTGCAGCCATGACGTAAAAGTAATCAGAAGCTTTTGGAGTAGAATCTTGGTCGGGGTGGGGAGGAGAGACGCACAGGGCTAAAGGAGGACCGGCGGTGATGGGGAGGGAGGAGGGGTGCAGGAACTGCGTGGGGGAGCTACGGAGCAGCAGGCAGGCTCAGAGCAATGGGGGGAGGGTGGGCATTGCAGCAGGCAGGTGCAGAAGATAGGCTGGGCCACAGCCTGGGCTCCTCCTCTGCCCAGGTGTCCCATTGGTAACAGCTGGGGGCAGCTGGAGGGTTACCGTGTGCCAGGATCTGTTGCACTTGTTTAAATACTGGTTCACTTTATTTATTTGAAAAGGAGAACAGAGAGTAAATAAGAGAGCCCTTACATCTGCTGGTTCAGCCCCTAGGTGGCTGCAGCAGAGCCACGGGATCCATCTGGTTCCCTCGCCTGAGCAGCAGGGCCCGGGTACTTCGGCTGCCTGCACAGGAGCGACAGAGGGATGCTGGCTCAGGAGCGGAGCAGCTGGGGCTCATCAATGCTCAGATGTAGGATGCCCAGGCTCTATTCCAAGCCTGCTGCACCTGCACCTTCACAGGGAGGGGCTGCATCCTCCCAGCGATATTTGCAAGGTGGCAGACACTGTGTGAAGCCACGTGCTCAAACTCACACACCTAATGGGTAGGGCCCGGCTGGTTGGGTTCCAGGGATCTGTGTGAACCTCTGTTTCATCCTGTCCCAGGGTGCGGTGGGGTGGGGCTGCCATGGAAGGCACTGTCAGCAGAATGCCAGTACCAGGAAAGGGCTGGGGTGGAATCCAGCTGCCCTCAGCTGTTCGTATGGCTGCTGTGAGACTCCAAGGTCACATACAGGGAGCAGCTACACAGGCTGTCCAGGGCCACACCGGGAACTGTCACTGCAGTTCACACCCTCTCACACCCAGCTCATCGCTGCCCTTGCGGCTGCTCACACCCACTTCACACCATAGCTCACACCCATTCCACATGGCTGTACACATCCATTTCATGTAGTAGTTGCTCACTCATTTCTCACACGGCAGTTAAAGTTCAGAGAACAAGCTGGGGTGACACCCACCCCTCCCACAGGCTCACACAGCAGCAGGTCCATTTGAAGAAACATCCCTGAGGCCAAAGGCGAAAGCCTGTTATCTCTGATACTTTTCTGGGCCCTGGGGAGGAGGGCTCGGCTCATCTTGGTCTGGAAGAACACTGTCTGGCTGCAGTAGAAAAATGCCCAACACACCCAAACGAGAAAATAGCTCTTCTTTATTCACTTTGATTGGGATCATTGGAAATAATTGACAATAAATAAACCGGAAAGCAGGGGCTGGGTAGGAAGACAGCTTCATTCAAAACCCATCCAGATCAACCCACACTGGGCTGGGAGCCAGCAGGGGAGTGGCAGGGGACAGGAAAGCCCAGGACCCAGATGCTGGGACTGCCTCGACGACAAAAAGTGCTCAAGAGCCTTGGGCTGCGAGGGGGAGCTGGGAGAGGGGCTGGGGCAGCTGTGCTGTGGGCAGATCATGGGCCCAGCCAGCCAACCAGGTTGTGCAGACCTTGACAAACACCCATCCGGTGACAGCCACTCTCCTGCTGAGAAGGAGGCTGCTAAAGCCCTGAGCCTCCGTGGGGACAGGAACTTGTCATGCTTTGCCCAGCACAGATGGCAGCTGGGGCGGCAAGGGCTGGATAGCCCCATGTCCGGGGGAGGGAAGCCGACAGCATCACACCACCTGCTGTCTGCTTGCACAAAGGGAGTTTGCCATTGATACACTGGGAGAGGGCAGGCGAGCCCCTGACTGGCCTCCATCTTGCTGTGCCCAGGCTACAGGCTACAGGCAGGTGGCATAGACATCGCGATTCTCAGCCTGCACTGTGCTTCTGGAGGCCTTCGATGCAGAGGCCCGATCCCCAGGGAGGTAGTACTGGCCTCCAGGGCCCCTCCTGCTGCCTCCCCCTCCTGTCTGCACACCCCAGTTCAAGTCCCCTACGTGCTTCCGGCTTCTCCCACTGCATCCTGCTCACAGGGTTTGCTGGAGGGTGCCAGGCAAGCAGGAGCGGCCAAAGAAAGGCACCCCCTGAAGGAGAGCTGGCTTCTTTTTAGCTGCCAACCTGCCCTCCCCTCCCCCAACAGGCTGCAGCGGGCAATGCTGGGCTCTCAGCCTCCTGCTCCCTCTAGCCCAGCGCTGGACACCAAGGAGTGCTCTGGCTGCTGTAGACTGAGCCCTGCCTTGGCTCCAGCCGTGTGTGTGTGTGTGTGTGTGTGTGTGTGTGTGTGTGTGTGTGTGTAGGGTGGGCACTCCTCCTCCAGCCCACACCCTCAGGTGGGCTGTAGCCACCTTCACCCCAGGGAGGGGACAGTGGATTCTTGAAACTAGAGGCTGGGAAGCCATGGATGCTTCTGCTGCGCCCGGAGAGCGGAAGCTGAGGTTCCAGTGAGTTTTGGAGACTCTACCCTGAGAATGAGTGCAGGTCCATGGCGAGAAAGGCAGCAGGCTGGGTTGGGCTGCAGGGGGCAGGAAGGGGTGGGCACAAGCTGGGCTGGGAGTGCTGACCATGTCCATCTCTGGAAGCTGGGCATCTGATTCTTGCTCGGTTTGCTTGCGCTATTGGCCACAGCCAGCGGTCCCTGGCCAGTGACGTGGGTTCGTCTGGGGCTAGCTTTGCTCAAGTGTGGAACCAGAGAGCTGGGGTTCCTGGGCTGGGAGATGGCTCATAGTGGAGCATCTCCCTACCAAGGCAGAGTGGGGGAGGGAAAGATCAGAGAAGGCAAGTCAGGTGCCCGGGCAACAGTGGATGCCATCTTCACCGTGGGGAACCTACGCATGCTCAGTGGAATCCAAAGCAGCCAGTGTGTAACCCGAACCGGGGTCCTTCACATCCTGGGGGATTCGGTCCACATGGCTGCCTGTGTGATACCCATTCAGGTCAGGTTTGTCCTGGGGGCCGGAGAGGGGCTTCGGGGGTGAATCGGAGCAGCAGCCCACCAGGAGCTCTGGCTTCACGTTTGGTTCACAGCGCCGACCTCGCGGCAGGACGGGCATCAAGTTTAGGAGGATTTGTTATTTTTCTTGAACGGGAAACACCGTCTGGATTCTGAGTCTTGCAGAATCTCACCAAAGCCACGGTGAATGCCCTCAGGGAAACCCACACAGAAGGGCATGCAAGAGCCTGTCCTTGCTCGCCCCTCCCCCAGGATGGAGAGGGGCCCCTGAGCCAAAGTGGCCCCCAGGGCTTCGAAGAGGGGCTTTCTTCCTATCTCTCCCCACTCGCACTCATCTCGCAGCAGCAGCCATGCTTCAGCAGGTGTGTTCACGGGGAAAAGTGGCTTTTCTGAGTTAGCATCGGCAAAGAGCCGAGCCCCACCATGCCCGAGGCCTGCCAGCTCCCGTCCTGCCTGGCCCCAGGGAGGCTTCAGAACTTGAGGAATACCAGGCCTGAGGATGAACCCGCCAGGCTGGGAGGCAGGCACAGCTGCGTGACTGCTGGCCTGATGCTCCCAGGGATCGGCCCCAGACACCCCAAGCCTAAAGAGCAGCTGAGCCCAGACCCCAGCTCCGCCAGACCAAGCTTCATCCCCCAGCCAGCCCCACCAGCACGGCCACACACCAGGCGTACAATGTCAGTCGAATGAACGAAGAAATCAATAAATAATCAGGAAGGCTGAGGAGGAAGGAAGCCGCCAGCAGGCACGGGGGCGTGAGGTATGCCAGTCACCGTGGCTCAGGCACCGCCCAGACCTCACAAACGGGTCCTGCCACAGGGCTCTGGGACGGCCCTGCAAGGTGGGGGCGCCCCGACCAGCAGTGGGCCTCCGTGGCTGAAGGCCATTTGAGCCTTGTTCTGCTCCAGGGAGTGGCTCGGGAATCTGGGACAGACACTCTTAGCCAGAGAAGGGGAGCGATGGCGCCTGGCCGGGAGAGGGTCCCCTGTCCCACGTGGGTTCCTCCTTGTCATGTGAGCCATTGCATGCGTTTCTGCCCTCACCCCCACCACCAAGGCACGTGGAAGCCATCAGCTGTGCTCCCGGCCACAATCAGAACCACCGCTGATGACTCCAACCGGCCGAGGCACCTGCTCCCGCCAGAAACATCACCAAGCTTCTAGGGAGATCTGTCGGAGGCCTCTCCTGGCCATCACCAGGTGAGATTTGGGAAGGAAATGGTGACAGGGGGAAGTCACGCCAAGCAAGAGGCCAGGCTTCGTGCAAAGACGGGCAGCATCTTGCCTGGGCCCCATGCCCATGGGACCAGGCATGGCTCTGAGCTGTAGGGCACACGGCTGCACATGGAGACATCCTAGGGAGAATGGATCCATCGCCCTGGCCCATTGCCAGGGACCAGGCCTGTCTGACAAAGCAGGGAGTCTTCCATGCCAGGCACCCCGCCACCCTACAGGCCAAAATGATTTAGTGTCCGGAGCTAGACCGGACCTTCCCTGCTACCCGGGGTGGGAAGGGGTTGTCCCCCAGGGCAGCCGTGCATGGGTTGTCCGCCCCGCTGGGACAGGTTCTGAGCGTAGCTCTGCAGCTCTGGCAGGACCGAGCTACCTTGCTCAAGGCCAGGGCACAGGCTGTGAGTGGCACCCTGGGCACACCCCAAGGAGGCCCCTTGGCTCCGCAAGGTGCTGGGGCCGGAAATGGAGAGGCGCAGAGGGGCGCGTCCCTTCCCCACCCCGCGCAGCGTCATCTGCCTTTGAAGATCCGGATTTTGTGGATGGCCGCCAAGGTGGCCGTGACATTGGACTCGAAGTCTGCGTCGTGCACTCCGGTCTTGCGGAAGGCCCCGGCCGAAGGGTTGTTCTCCCAGTAGTGGTGCCAGTTGCCTCTGCTGTCTGCCCCAAAGCCATACAAGTCCACCTGCACAGGAGAAAGGCAAGGTGAGACGCCTCCAGGAACCGGGCGGGGGCGGGTACAGACCCTGTGTCACATGCTCCAGGGCACAGTGCCCGCCCCCTCCTTTGGGACAGAAATGGGCCCAACACTCCTGGGGCTGTGTGCAGGTGTGCAGCACACCATCATGACCTGTGGTCGCTCCAATGCGCAACAGAAAACACCACCTGCCTGGGACCTCGCACCTGTTTAACATCAGGTCCTCAGTTCTCCATCCCCAAGCATCACGTGGCACCCCAGGGGGCATGCACAAATAATCGTTACATGTCAATTTACAATAACAAGTTGGAAAAGACAAAGTAGAGGCTGGAGGCCTTCTTGGAGAAAGCAAAGTAGCTTGCCAAGATCCAGACAGCGCCTGCTGTAGGTTCCCGGTGCACCCTGGGCTTGGTGAGGCAAACACAAGTCAATAAACCTAGATGCAAGCCAGCCAGAAGGCTGAGTACGTGTGTGTGTGTGTGTGTGTGTGTGTCTGCACGTGCGTGGTGCTGAGGGGGCTGGACCCCATCTGGGCCAGGTGCAATCTTTACTTCTCATGGGACAGGACGGAGAGAAATGGAGAGATGAGGCAGGCTGAGCTGTGGAGCTGAGCCCTAGAATGCCCTCAATGGCCATCTGGAAAATGCGGTGAGGATCATGGCCGGGCCACCGCATCTGAGGCCCTCACCAGCCAGGGCTGGTGGCCACGCTCTGCTCTCAGGATGAAGTGCAGGCAGCTGTCCACTGGGGGCGCCAGGGAGCTCAGGGACACACAGCCTTTGGCCATCAAGGCCTGGCTGGCCCTGGAGAGACATGGGCTTGATTCAGGGCTCCTATGGCCAAGAAGAGGCAGGAGCCGGGGCCTGAGGTCAGAGGAAGCTTTCCCAAGAAGGAGCCTTCGAGTCAGGTGGCAGAGGAGCCCCAAGGAGCAGCTTCCAGGGAGGGGACAGCAGCATGGAGAGCGGACTTCAGGGGTGGGGCAGAGGAGGCCGGGGGCAGCTTCCTGGGAATGCCAGCAGGGACAATGTCCTGGAGGAGGAAGAGCGGGGGCAGGTGAGTGAGGCAGACTCCCAGGAGTCCGTGAGCAGCTGGCTGCAGCTGGAGGGGCTGCAGACCCCATAGCGGGGGCAGGTGAGTGAGGCAGACTCCCAGGAGTCCGTGAGCAGCTGGCTGCAGCTGGAGGGGCTGCAGACCCCAGGGCTGGCTCTAAGGGTAACTGGCATGGAGTCTGTGTGGCCACCTTGCAACCCACTTCCTGGGGGTCCATCCATGAGCCAGGGGAGGGTGGACTGTGTGAGACAAGGAGGCCCAGCCTGAACTTGGGCTCCAGCCAGGGGTGTGTGTGGGGGGCCCAGCCTCCTGTGAGACAATCCACAGACATGCAGGCCCACGGCTCGGCGGAGAGTGGGACCCTCGGGTGACATCTGACTCCCACTCCCCTGGAATTCTGGTGAGTCTGGGCTGTGCTATGGCTGCAGGCGCCACCATTTCCTCCCCAGGGGATTCTATTGAAGCAATTACAACCATGAACCATAACCTTGGACCGCTCTCCCTGTGGCCTCTTGAGCTTGAATGTTGAATCTGAGCCTGCACCAGCTGGGTCTTGAGGGCTCTGGGGACCCCTGCATGACACCCCGGGAGGCGGGTATCACACGGAACCCAATTTTCCAGGAGGGATGGACATGCCCTGGCCACCTGCCCCCTCAGCATGTCCGTCCCTGCTGGGCACACAGGGGTGTACCTCATCACAGATGTGCATGGAGAAGATGACGGACAGGATGCCGGTGGACGGGTACCGCCCGTGGCCCTGCAGCCAGCTGTCGAAGACGTACTTGATGAAGGCCGGGTGGTAGATGAGGATCTGCAGGAGCGAGCACAAGGCCCGGGGTGAGCCATGAGACAAAGAAGGGGGCACTGAGCGGAGACTCCCCATCCACTGGCTTACATTCCCACCACTTGCACCAGCTGGGCCAGGCGAGGCGGGGCCTCAGGACCTGATCTGAACCTCCCTTTGTGAGGTGTAGGAAGCCAGCTGGTGCAGCCTCCTGGGCGGGCGGGGAGCTGGATCAGGAGCAGAGCCAGGTGCCTCCACCTGGAACGGGCATCCCAAGAGGCAGCTTAGCCTCTTAGCACCAGGGGCCCACCGCTGGAATCGCCCACTTTGAACGATAAGCTAACACACTGAGGTCTGTCCTCGGGTGACTGCTGTGGACGTGGGGTCAGGAGGGTGAACTGCAGTATGTGTGGCGTCACCCAGCTGGCAGAAGCAGAGCTGGGGGTGTGCATGTCCCGCCTCTTAGCTGCTCAGGCGGAGCGTCGTGCAGGACCCTGAATCTCAGCCAGGCCCAGGTACTACTGTCTCCCAGGGGCTCTTCTGCCCCCCAGCTCTGCCCGTGCTGGTGCACCCATGCCTACTTCCCAGCAGGGCACAAGGAGCACAAGGAACCCAGTTCTAGCTGAGCCTTCTGCGTGACCCTGGGCCAGTTGCCTGACCTCTCTGTGCTTGTGGGAAGGTGTTAGTGTGTCAAGGACGAAGGTGGGTGCATTGCAATCCCTGCTTGGCCTGACTGCAGAGGGGTGTGAACAGAGCGAGCTGAGTTACAGCTGAGGCTTTAAGCGACTCTGAAACTGCAGCTTCACGTAGCAACCAGGTGGGCTCGTGGGCGGTGATGCTCGGGGTCTCAGGACCCTGCTCTGCGAGCCTCTCCCAGGGCTGGGACCCTCCTCGTAGGGATGCTAAATGCTCCGCTGCTGCCTCCGCTGGGGAGCCTGGAGCCTGGGGTCTAGGGTTGAGAACCTGAGAGACACTTGAGCCTCAACTTACCTTCTCCTGTTTCACTTTGATCTTGGAAGGCACAGGGACGTAGGTGCTGCAGAAGGACAGAGAAGATGGGTTACACGGGGAGGAGTCCTCCTTCCCTGGCTCATCCTAAGGTTCCTGCCTCCAGGGCCCTCCTGCAACAGCTCCCTGTGGGCGGCAGGGGGCGACCTCGGCTCACTCCTGCAGGAGCCACAGTTTCACACCTCCCTGGGAGGCTGGGAGCAGGAGTGCTCCCTCCTAGCACCTGCCTGACTGTGGGGGCCTCAGCTGCCCTTGATCGACTGTCTCGGCCCATCCCAGAGGTCCCACGTGAGGACAGAGAAGGGGTCACTTACTGCACGCCCCTCCTGACAGCCAGGCTAAGGCCAGTCCGCTCCCATGCCCCGAGCCCTTCCCTTCTTCCAGACCCCTGCAGAGAGGCCCCCAGAGGCAGGAAACCCAGGCTACTCCTTCCCCAGTTCTGGAACCTAGGAGCTGGGGGGCCAGAGAGAAGGCTGGGCTGAACTAGCTTCAGCCAGAGGCAGGCTGCTAGCCAAGCCTCGGCTTTCTCCTCGCGGGGTTCGGAGGGAATATACGGCCATGGCCAGGATTCAACCAGTTAAGTCTCCAATGCCAGCTCCTCATTCTGCAGGAGGCCAAGTGCGCTGCGCACCCTGGCCTCTGGGGGCAGCAGCGGCACCAACTGCACTGCTCCCTCTGGGCCTTGGCTGTTGGGAGTGCAAGGGGCTGGCATCTGATCATGGGGGTCCACACGGGAGTCCCTGAGCAGCAAGCGGTGGGATGGGGATTGTTGGGGAACCCCGTGGGTGCCCAGGAGAGGTTGGGGCTCTGTACGGAGGCAGGGACTCACTGGCTGATGGTGCCCGTGGTGGTGGCGCTGATCACCCATTGCAGGTCGGTGGTCTTGAAGGGGACCAGGACCATGCTCACGTTCTCCCCCAGCTCCCGGAAACTCTCGGGATACACAAGATGGTGGGTGGTCTTGCTCCCCACGTCGACCTCAAAGCCCATGGTGGGCGCCTTGTTCATCCTGGAAGGGAAAGTGACACAGATGGTGGCAGAAGGGGAGGGGCCTGAATTGTGGCCTTGGCCGAGTCCTTTTCCAACTCCTTGGGCCCCATCTGTGAAATGGGCACAAACCTGACCCAGTGCCAAGGGCCCTGCCAGTATCTGATCTGAGAGGGTGGGTCGGAGCATGCCTGCCACCGGGCACCCGGGGGATAGAACCCTACATGCTGTGCTACCCGTGATGGTCGGCTCAGACGGGCTGCCAACACTGCGGAGCTGCCTGGCAATGAATCTGAGCTCAGATGTCACCACACACATTCCCATTGGCTGGCAGGTACAGAGACGCGGTGGGAAGCCAGGAACTCTGAGACACTGGGTCAGAGGGCACGGAAACGGAGAGACTATTCTAGAAGGTCTCTGGGGCACGGGAAGGAGGCCTCTCACCCTTGGGCATTTGTGAGTGATCTGCGAGGACTGCAGGCCAGACTGGGGACAGCTTCCTGGCGTGTCTGTTCAACTTGGGGGAGAGCAAAGGCGGCTTGCGTTACAAGCCCGCGGTTCTGTTATAGCCCAGATCGCCCAGTGGGGAGGGATTTGAACAACAAAAATGGGCCTCGTCCAGCCAATCGTGTCTTGTCTGTGGCTTCTCCGTCCCCCTCTGTATTGACCCATCCTGACCCCACAAGCTGAGATGGGAAAGGCTTGCAGGGTGCAGGAAGGAGCCTGGGGTCCCCAGGCCAGTCTTGACTGAGGCAGCCTGAGCCCAGACACTTGCCACTGCGCCAGCCCCCTCCTCAGCGTCCCGTGGCGTATGGTGCAGGTAGGGCGGGGGCCCGGGCACTGACCTCAGCACAAAGTCGTGGTTGTCTATATCTGGCCCGTAGAAGGACTCTCGCAGGTTGCCGGAGTTGCCCACCACAGCACAGCGCCGGCAGCCCACCGACCCTTTCTCCAGCACAGGGTCCACGTTGCCCGGCACCACACTGAACAGTTCCCTGACGGTGTCATTGAAGCTATTGGGCTGCTTCTCCCGCTGGAGCTTCTGTGGGCAGAAGATGGGACAGGTGAGCCTGACTGTGCTGCCTCTGGCCCCGGCAGGCTCGGTTTCCTGGCTGTGGAACCGCCTGCCGGGGATTCCTAGGCCCTCCGTTGTCTCATTCTCTCTGCCGGGCCCCAAGAATGGAGGCCACTCAGACATTGCCCTTCAAGGAGACCGAGCTGCCCTCACTCACGCAGCACCTGCTGGGAGCCAGGCACCTGCTGTGCTCCCCGAGCTGGGGACTTCTCTGAAGGCGACGGAAGCTTCATCCAGGAATGGGGACTAGAGGAAGGGCCTTGAGATGCGATCACACTGGGCTGTCATCAGGGTGCAGCCCTCAGGACTGAACCCCGGGGCTTCCCCTCGGAGACCACAGAGCTGCACCTGTGAGCATCCCCTGCCCAAAACCCTGTCTGTCACCATGCAACGCACTCTGCCACCTCGGGACCGGCCAGCAAGAATGCCAATAGCAGAGGCTGAACCAAGGACAGAGCCAACCCTAAGGCCCTTTTCCCTGTATGGTTCTCTGGGCTCCGGCACTTCACTACAGGAATGAAAAGATGAGGCAGGACTGCTCTGGTTGCCTGCAACAAGGACCTCGGCTGATCAGTCAGGCACATGGCAGAGGTGGCAGCTCGGATCTGCACTGTGCACCTGGGCTCAGCCTGCCACGCTTGGCAGGGCCTGTGTGGGACTCACCCCCTTCATCCAACCTGCTTCGCCTTAGCATCTCTCATGGGCCACAGCCATGACCTTGGGAGCCCATCCAAACCTCATCCCACCTTGCTCAATATCTCACATCAGATCCAGACACTGGCCTGGGGCCTGTAGACCCTCATTCACACCTTACCAACAAGAGCAGCCAAGGGCAGCGGGGGTACGCAGGCTCCCCAACCCTAACTACCACCTGGCTGGCTGGCACACAGTCCCCTCGCCCATGACAGCCAGAGTCAGCCAGACACGCAGGAGGTCCCTGATGTGTGTAGTTACTGCACGTCCAAGGTCAGGTGGCATATAGGGAAGATGCAACAAGGTAGAACCTTGACAACACTGTGCTTGAAGAAGCCACAGAAGGACAGAGGTCATTTCCTTCTGTTTGCACGAGGCACTTAGAACAGTCAAACACATCACGCCAAAGCAGAAGGGAGGGGTGACGGAGGCTCAGGTACGGTGAAGATGTGGTTGATGAAGGCGGGCTGTGGGCAGGAAGTGGCAAGTTACCTAACCCTGGTGCAAATGCATGGATTCTGTTACATGCACTTTACTGCAAATTAAGATACTGATTAAACACCTGTTGCTAATAGGCTCCCCAGGGCTGGCCCATCGCCTGGGGACCACAACAAGGCTCAGCTTCTGAGTCAGTAGGGCTTGGGACAGTCTAGATGCTGCACATCCAACGGGCTCCCAGGCAATGCTGCAGCTGCTGCAGTGGCCGCCACTTCCCAGCATGCCTGGGTTGAGGCCACAGCCAGGCTACTCTGCAGGAGGCCCACCGGAGGTCCCCAGCCAAGAAGGGCCGCTGTGCACTTGGCCTTGCCAAGGTGACCTGGCACTGTGTTCCTCCCTGTGTGGTTGGAGCAGCTGCTGGATGCTGAACTAAGCAAGAGCTGCCTGGTATCCACTGGGTGCTACGCACAGCACTGCCGTGCGTCACGTGGCTTTGCTCCCAGGACTCACTACAGAAAAGCAGCCAGGTCCTTGGGGATGTAAGCCTGACGAGGATAGCCCAAGTGGACAGAAAGGACAGCTTGGCAGGAGTAGAGAGTCACAGTACAGCACAATGAAAATGACACAAGCCGAGCAGGTCCCGGCTCTGGCTTGTGCGTGCTCAGACAAGCTGACTTCTCTGGGCACACAGTGAGACTGACAAGCGCTGCGAGTGCCCAAGGAGGCAGTCTGCCAATTAGAGGCAGCGTGCTGCCAAGATAGAAAAGGAATACCAGCAGAGACGGGATGGGATGACTTCCAGGGGCAGCGCCTGGTGCACTGTCTTGTGTCACGGAGTGTCATGCAGCCCACACTGCAGGACCCCAGATCTGTTCCCGTCCTACCCAGACAATGTGCCTCCCAAGGTCTGGTTGCTTGGTGCCCCTTGTGGCTCCTTCACTTGCGATGGCCTCCAAGAGACCACAGTACTCTCTCAGTGGTCCCTGGCACATGGCGTTATAGCTTGATGCTCCTGCAGATACCCTCTCACCCCAGACCCACGCACAAGCTCACTCCTCCAGGCTGAGCTCGGCACTCTCCTCTGGGAAGCCATCTCTGAGGGCCCAGCCCCAGAGGAGGGGTGAGCAGGTGCACCTGTGTGCAGCCCCTGTGCCCACTCTGTGCAGCAGCAGGGCCCTGCCTTGGGACCCTCTGTGTGCCCTCTCACCCCAGCCCAGAGGACAGAGGACAGACCCAGGGAGGCAGGGTCTTCTCCATCACATTCTATCAGTGCTTGGTGTACGGCAGGTGTCATGAACACAGCACAATGTATCTGGCTCTTCTTTGATCTACTTATGCTCAACCCTGGAACAACCTTGCAGACACCTGGATCAGACCTCTGGATTCCCCTGAGTAGACTTCCGCCTTGGCTTCTGGCTACGTGTCCAGCAAGTTCCAGGTTTCTTTGCTCTGGGTTTAGCTTAGCCTCAGATCTGCTTTCAGAGCACTTCCTGCTGCCAGGGCTGTTTGTGGTCCCTGGGGATGACAGGTGCAGGAACCTAGGCAGTACCCCCTTTGCTCTGACCGCCACATGTCACGGATCCCGTGGTAAAGGACCAGAGAGGAATAACCAGAACCCTGCAGGGCTCCAGGAGTCCCTAGGAGCCCCAGTCTCCCCTTCCCGCTGACCCCCTGCTGCCCGGGCCTCACCAGCCACCATCTGTAAGTGTCCTCATCCAGGAGGGCGTTGTGTGTCGTGAGCAGCGGCTGCATGGTGTGGTTGAAGCGCTCGTCAAACCATGCCGAGAGCTTGCGCTGGCCCACACAGTGCGTGCAGGTGCATGGCCGGGACTTGAGCAGCCTGCGCAAGTTCTCCGAGAGCTCCAGGACCATCTGTTTGGGGAACCAGGTGGTGGTCACCATGGTGTGCGAGTAGTTGAGGAGGAAGGAGGTGAGGAAGATGAGGAGCATGAGGAAGGCGAGTGCTTTGAGGGTCTTTTTCCTGGGGGTCACCATCTTCACTCTGCTAGGGACGAGCCCTCACGACAGAGGACAGGAAGAGGATGGCTCCGAGGGGCGCACCCCAACCATGTGTGGCAGGTGGCTCTCTCAGCAAACACGGGAGCCAGTCACGATTGCAATCCCAGCACAGCTGAAGCGTCTCTTGGCGAAGCTTTCGTTCAACCTGGAAGCCGTGGATTCGGAGAGCACCCGTGGGTGCCGTGGGTGCCGCGGGTGCCACGGGTGCTCGGGGAGGGCTCCCGGTGCACTGCAGCCTGGAAGGAAGGGTCTTGCCCAGGCTGGAGGGAAGCTGTCTCCGTCACCCTCCCTGGAGAGCGTGATGTGACCGTGCTGGCTGCTCGCACGTGGTCTCCGGAGTTGAGATGGTCACGGGGCTGGCCTGGGGAGCATCCTGCTCATCAGTGACCTGCACAACAAGGGAGGAAGCAAACAATGAGATCAGTGGGACTGCTCGTTCCACGCCTCCCGGGGAAGCACTCCCAGCCACTGATCCAGCCAATGCGGCAGGGGACTCCAAGGATGACAGGCCCTCTGGAGCCTTGGTGTGAGCGTGTGTACAATGGGCTCACCCAGAGTCCCTGCAGAGCCAGCCGCCCAGCTGTTACCTGTCACAAGGACCCAGGACCTGCGAGCATCAAGGCACAGAGAAATGGGCCAACCCTGCATCCCAACGCAAGCAGCATGGGCAGTGCTCAGTGCACCCTTGCTGCATCTCTCACTCCTGAATTTGGGATTTCTGCAGCAACAAACGCAACAATGCTAGGCCCACAGCATGGCTCAGGCCACCAACCACTCCCCATGGGCTCTGCCTCACTCCAATGGAGAGGATTTGGGTTATCCACGTTCTAGTTCCGATTGGTTGAGCTGTGTGGCCGATTTCTTCTGTAAAGTGAAATAATTACTTCCTACTGTGGTACTGCTAAGAAGACAGAAGTGATATAAAAAAGGGACTATTAGGCAATTGCTAAACTTTCATTTTCCTGTGTCAACACAGGAACAAGTGAGTGAGTAGATAGATAAATCCAAGTGGGTCTGTTCAGATAATCCCCCAGGCATTACTTCCAGCTAGATGCTGGGAAAAAAATGAGACCTAAAGTGGTTCACTGATGGGGCCAGGTGTGGGAGAAAAGAGAAGCAAGTGCACCCACAGAGGCCAAGGGATGGAGGCCCACAGAGGCCAAGGATGGAGGCCCACAAAGGCCAAGGACGGAGACCCACAGAGGCCAAGGATGAAGGCCCATAGAGGCAGAGGGATGGAGGCCCACAGAGGCCGAGGGATGGAGGCCCACAGAGGCCAAGGATGAAGGACCACGGAGGACAAGGATGGAGGCCCATAGAGGCTGAAGGATGGAGGCCCACGGAGGCCAAGGATGAAGGCCCACAGAGGCCAAGGAGCGACCCTGTCGGAGAGCTGGACAACCTGCCAGCAGAGGGCTCCCATCCGTGACAGCATAGGGATGGGTCCAGGGCAGGGCGCAGGCTCAGACACCTGCTATTGGGACCCATCTAGATCTTTGGATGTGGGCACAGCACGATGCCGGTCATTTTGCCGGCTTGTGTCAAAGGGGTGAGAGCTGAATGAGGCAAATGGTGCCAAATTTCTGATCCAACCTGCCCGCAGCTCTCCGTCCCCAGACTGTGCAGCTTTACACACGAGAAAGCAGCTGTCCTTTCTCTGTGTAAAGCAGATTATCTGTAACCCAAGCACCATGGCCAAGTGCCACATGTTACAGCCACTCTGGCTTCTGTCCCCACTCCCATCTTCCTGGACTGTGTGCCTCTTGCTAGCTGGGTGGGGCCCAGTACGTGCTGACTCCCACGAGGAAGTCCAGTCCATTCTGGGCTGAGTTAGGGGCCCCTTAGCCTGCAGCCCCCACCTGTACTGTTGACTCATCTGTCCCCTCCTGGACACCCTGTGATGGATGGCCTGGTTCGTGCTGGTTGTGGCTTGGGAACCTGCCACATGCTGCCTGCCTGGTGGAGTTCCCTGTGGTGAGAAAGATGCCAAAATGAATGAGGAAAGGAAAACCCAAGGGCAGATGTGAGCCCCGAAGCATGGGCTTGAGAGGTGACGGAGCTTGATTTGCGCTGGGCTGTGCCACCTGCTTGCTGCGTGACGATGCTACGTTACCCAGCCTCTCTGAACCACCCCTTCAGCTGAGCACAGTCTGCTCACCAACTCATCAAGATCTATGCATTTCTCCAATTCACCCAGCCTTGCTGTTCCCCATGCTGTTCCAGGCACTGAGTGAGCAGGCTGGAATATACCACGGAAGGCTCAGGGGAAAGCTTCTGAGGCCTTCACAAGGTCCCAGTGCCTCTGGGAGGCTGGAGTCCAGCACATTTCAAAACAAATGTGCGCTAGGAAAGTCCTAGGAGAAATTGCAAGGACGCCCTCTCAGCTCCCAGGCCCCGGAGAAGCCACAGGAAGACAACGGCCTGTTCTCGGCACAGGGTGAGGTAGCCTGGCCGTGTGGGGGACGCCACGCTTGGCTCCCTAGCGGAACCTGGATGAAGACACAGCAGACCAAGGATGTACGTGTGCAATGCCAGCCTCTGGAGAGAACCAGAGAGGCAGGAGCAGGAAAAAGGACCCCTGATCTTTTCGGTTGAGTGACAGTCACCACTGCGAGGCTGGAGACACCACAAAGCCTGCACCTGTCCCTGAGGCTAATAAGGCACAGCAGCGGTGAGGCAGATAAAGCTTCTGGGGAATGAGGTGTCAGGGACAATTAATTACCAGGGACCGAGAGAGCTGCCTGAAATCGCCAAGGGATGACACACACGGGGTTTGAGCAATTGATACACATCTGCTGAACTGGGGTTATCACCCGCCTGGGACAGCCTCCAGCTCGTTACAAATGCCCGAGAGCGGAACAAGCCACAGGAGCCAGCCTCGACCCTCGTCCCCAGCCCTGCGACACTGCCACTGCAAGCTGCCACTCTCTGCTGGTGCTCTGCACCCTGGCCTTACCGTCAGCACACAGCTTATGTAGGAAGCAGGCTACCTGAATCCCTACCCTGTCCTTCAAAAGACCTAATGACATCGAGCACTGGGACCGGCACTGTGGCACTGAACCACTGATGCAGTGCTGGAATCCCATATGAACTCCGGTTCGAGTCCTGGCTGCTCCACTTTTGCCCCAGCTCTCTGCTAATGCTTCAATGCTTCTGGGAAAGCGGTAGGAGATGGCAAGTGCCCAGGCTCCTGCACCAATGGGGGGAGCCACAGAAAGACTTTAGCCTAACCCCGCACTGGCCGTTGCGGCCATTTGAGAAGGGAATCAGCAGATGGAAGATCTTTCTGTGTATCTTGCTCACTCTAACTCTTCTTTTCAAGTCAATAAAAACTAAATTTTTTTTTTCAAAAAAGGAAGAAGAATTACAAGAAAAGAAACCAGGGGCCTGGTGTGAAGGCTCAATTAGCTAATCCTCCCCTTACAAGAGCTGTTACAATATGGTTACTGGGTCATGTCCTGGCTGCCCCACTTCCCATCCAGCTCCCTGCTTGTGGCCTGGGAGAGCAGTAGAGGACAGCCCAAAGCCTTGGGACCCTGCACCTGTGTGGGAGACCTGGAGGAGGCTCCTGGCTCCTGGCTTCAGATCGACTCAGGTCCAGCCATTGCAGCCAGCAGATGGAAGAGCTTTCTTGCTGTCTCTCCTCTATAAATCTGGCTTTCCAATACAAATAGAATAAATCTAAAAAAGAAATTAAAAATCAGACATCAAGAATATCTTCAAAAATTTCATGGAAATCTATATTATGACAAAGTCCTGTACGGATTTCCACAACCTTCTAATCCCAAGTTTCTTTGGCCTCTGAAGTTACCAACCGCAGAGCACAGGACGATGATGAAGCTGACAGGCCACCTGGGCACGCTAACCCTTAGGGATTCTGGGGAGCAAAGGCGGCAGGTGGGTGGCCAGCAGCACCTCTGGTCCTGCAGACCAAGGCTGATCACGCCCTGAGGGGAGGACCAGGAGCGGGCAAGGGCCCTCACCGAGGACCAGGGGCGGGTGGGGCCCTCACGGAGGACCGGGGGCAGGGGTCCTTAGGAGGATCAGGGGCGGGCAAGGGCTCTCACTGAGGACCAGGGGCTGGTGGGGGCTCTCACGGAGGACCGGGGCAGGGGTCCTTAGGAGGACCGGGGCGGGCAGGGGTCATCACAGCTGGGGGAGGACTGGGGATGCAGAGGGCTCATCAGCACCTAGGAGACAGAGGACAGTACGGAGTCTTTGGGGCGAGACCATGTGATTCTGACTTCTCCAGAACATTCATCACAGTACATCAGTGCACACAGGTAAACTGAACACAAATGTGCTTCCCGTAACCAAGGGACATGGGTAAGTCAGTCCACTTTTCTGGGCACTGGGCCTGCATCCCCCAACACAGGGGCAGCCCTGCTCTTCCACGGGACACAGGCATGAGGGTCAGGGTAGGAACGCTTGCTGACCCGTGTCATGTTAAGGATGCTCAGTGGTGTTTTGTACCAGACCAGGGGTCACCAGCGTCATCCATGCTCCTTCTCTGGAGACCCTAACAGCCTTTTCATCTGACCTGTGCCCAGCCTGCCCAACCCAGAGGGTGCCAACCTCTAACACAGCTTTCATAGGGCACCCTGGGGCAAGTGCACCCAGCTCTGCTGAGTTCTCCCCAAACCACACAGCTCTTTAGGGAAGAGCCAACATGCGGAACAGAGTCTCCGGCTGTGTGATGGAGATGGACGCACCAAGCCTATCCTACAGAGGACCTGGGCTCAGGTAGCTGATGCCAAGTCACATGGCAAGGCCAGGGCTCACCCCAAGCCTGCTCTTGGATACTGCCCTGTCCTACCTCCCCAGTGCTATCAATGACACCCTCGCTGCTTCATCGAACATACCTAGCACCACGTTTTTCTTCCCACTGGGGAGTGCAGTCAAGCAGAAGGCCCACACCCGGATCCAGCACCTGGACCATCCACTCACCAGGGACCTATGTCTCCAAGCAGGTGGTGCTGGGCGTCACCAAGGTTAAGAAGCGTCAGGGTAATTGTAGCATGTTGGCAGAAGCCACCTCAACCCCGCCAGGTACACAGCAGTGACGCCGGGGAACAGCTGGAAACCAGGTTGCCCTTCAGAGGGAGCGGCTGCTGGAAGGGCACCCCATGGTGGATGTCTCCAGGCTCGGACTTGGCTGGGAGCCACAGCTGGCGTGCGAGCGGCAAGCAGAGAGGGGTGCCCACGGTAGTCCCTGGGGCTCCAGCTCAGAGACAGACAGCACAAGTGAAGCCGCTGCTGGGGCTCAGGCTAACTGGTCCATTCCCCTATCACCCCAAAGGGGCGGGATTGCTGCAAATCCTCGAAAATAAAGTTGCTCCCCCAGGACAAAGAGTGGTGCTGGGCAGGAGTGTCAAGGAAGGGCCCAGAGAAGGTGGATTAGGCGGGATTAGTTAGGGTCACCTGGGGGAGAAGCTGGGCGTGTTTTCCTATCCCCAGCCACATGAAAGGAATTCAAATCTTCTTAGCCCTGACAACTGGGCTTGGCAGGTGAGGGATGGGGCAGACCTGCAGACATTAAGCAGTTTGCACTGTGGCCAGGAACGCAAGGGGTTGTGGGTTCACAGACTGGCACTTGCACCACAGGGAGAAAGCATTCCCCGATTGGGGTGGCACAGAGCTCAGCACACTTCCAAGACAGTTCAGAGCGCCTGATGCCTGTCCTGTCTGTTGCAGAAGCTTCCGTCGTTGGCGTTGGCTACGGCCCAGCTCCCCGTGTCGCCAGGAAGGAGGCAACCGTCCTTATCTGATGAATTTGCTCGTTCAGCTCCGAAACACGGTGGCGGCGGGGGTGGGTGTCCAAGTTTTCAGCCTCTGCCCTGCACCACAAAAGGGGGGGGGGACCCGCAGAGCACTGGGAGGAGTATGAAGCTGCCCCCTGCCAGGCGGAGCCTGCAGGGTCACCTGCTCTAAGTTCCACAGAGAGCGGTGGACCCGCACTGCCGGCTGTGTCTGCAGTGGGAACTACATCATTCACTGCCACACACGGTGCTGGGCATGGGGTACTCCTGGGCTCCCTATGGACTTCATGGCCCCTTGTGACAACTGTGAACGGTCTCATCAAGCTGTGTGCACCTGACCATGGCAGGTTCAAGATGAGAGCTCTCCTTGTGAGTCCATTTCCAGAGATGCAGGGGAAGCACAAGCCACAGCTGGTCCTGCTTGCAAAAGGAAAGCAAGGCTGGTGCTCCCGAGACCCCCAGGGGCGTCCTCAGCTTGGCCCGTTTCTACCACAGCGACTCAGAGATAATAACAAACTTCGCAGCCTTATTCCACTGACGGCTTACACACCCAGCCTACAGATGAGGAAAGTGAGGCCCCAAAAAGTTAAGCCCAGAGGTGTGCATTTTTGATAAGATTGAAGCTAAAGGGAGATTCCAGCTGTCCAGCTCTGGTATGACACCTTTTCGTGTGTGTGTGTGTGTGTGTGTGTGTGTGTGTGTGTGTGTGTGTGTGTGTGTGTGTGTACGCACGCTAGGCATCAGGGCACATCAACAAGTTTGTAAGGAAACAATTGAATTATAAAAAATTTGTTCTGATTAAGAGAGAGAAAGGGACAGAGAGAGACCAGCTTTGGTTAGCAAGCCTAGGGATACTAGTCTGAACAAGGGCCAGATATTGGGGTAAACAGACAGGTTAGAGAGCCGAATGTCTTTGACTACTTGACACGATTGAAACCAGAGCTGAACCAAGAGTTCTCTGGAGTTTGTCCAAACGAAGACAGCGGCCAGCCTGAGCCTGCGTTGCCACTGAAGAGGTGGTCTGTTTCATTCAGGACTGCGTCCCTGGTGACCTGCCCTGGGCCCGCCCCTTGATGCCTGGACGATAGACGGGGACGGCCCAATGAGCCCGATCTGCCCCCGGCTTGCTGGTCGACCACTGAGCCACCTGCTCCTTGGGGACGGAGAGGGGCATGGCCTGCTGTCCAGATGCTGTGTAAACGTTCCTTCAAACAAGCTCCCCGGGCTCCCCAGACAGCAGCCAGGCAGAATGATTTTCTGATGATTATTTTTCCAGCTGAATGAGATTCAGTTAATGGAAGACTTAATAGGTCCTTCTGGGCCCTGCCGAAAGCGAGCCACTCTGAAACAAGTTGGCTGCATTGGCAGCCCCAGGCCCCAGGTTGGGGAGAGTGAGGACAGGCCCACAGCTCCAGTCTGGAGGCCCCAGGCAGGACCGCCATGGCACTGCCCCCTTCTGAAGGCCTCCCTGTGCCCAGAGCCAGAGATCTGCTCATCAAAGGGAAGCTTCCAGAAGGCTCTGTCCCCCAAGCCCAGCTGTTCTATGCCTCAGAGCCAAGGCTGGCTGCGTTTCAGGCATGTGCGGGAGACACCGCCCATCTGATTTGTCTTCTGAGCCCAGGGAAGGCACAAGGGGAGCTCAAGCTTGCTCGGTCACTTGTGGAGTCCGGGATTCCTAACTCCCCACGCTCATCATGCCGACACCATGCCAGGCACCCACAGGAGCCCCACAGGTGCCAACATTGCCACAGGGTGGACAGAGCAGTCTCAGCACGGTGACTGCCAGGACACAGGCTAGCCCACCTCTGCCCAAGACCTGGTCCTCAGGTAGGAAGTTCAGCATCCTATGTGAGTGACTGCTCTGTCTCTGTTGTTGAAATCCAAGTCTCTACTTGGAAAGTGGGCCTGGAACAAGTGCATGGCCCTGTACTGAGAATTCACAGTCCTGGTTCAAAAGTACATCATGAGAATATAAACACAGCGCAAGAACAGGAACCAGTTTTAAGTTTAACCGAAGGGGACTTGTGCAAAAACGATTAAGAAGTAAGACAGGTAGCTTCCTCCTTTCAGATGCAACTGTTCTGCCCCCATTGAATTCTGCCTGACTTCTCTGGATACAAAACATGGAATTCCTGGCACACTCCTACGAGCGTGGGGAGCAGACAGGGGAATATGAGTGAGAAGGAGATGTGGGGAGAAGGGTGGGGAAGCCAGCAGAGAATCCAACTCGGAGTAGGACACTCTGCCCAGCACATCCCTTATCGGTCTCAGCACACACCAGGCCTGCTCCTGCCCAGCATGCCTTCCTTCCTCGTGCGGCCCTTGTTTGACCCTGGTTCTGGCTCTCCTGTGGAGATCACGGCCATTGCCTTCACACAGCCTGCTGTCAAGAGCCCCTGCCTGGCTGAATCATGTAGTGACACTCTACAGTGTGCTGAGTCACCTGGCTGCCCCTGGCTGCCCCTGGCTGCCCTGTCCCCCAGCTAAGGGTGGTAATGGTCCAGGCAGCAGGTGGAATGCACTGCAATGCAGCAAGGCCCTCGAGCTCAGGGAGCCACAGCCATGCTGCTTTGTGCTTGGTGAGAATCGTGGGGGCGGGTCTTACATTCCAGGCCTCAGAATCCTCACAGTAAAAGGCAACAAGGGCAATGGCAATGTCACACCACCTGGACCACAAATAGTCAGGAATTCTGAAGGCTAGGGGGTTAGGCTAGCAACATCTGGTCTTTGGCTTTCCTATCTGAAAATTCTCTCCTGGCTGGCTGTGCATGGGCCTAACTGGACTGTATGTGTCCCTAGCTGGGGTGGACATTATCCTCCCTGGGTATGACCCTAGCTGGGCTGAGCATGGTCCTGGCTGGGCTGGGCATGACTCCAGCCGGGCTGTAAATGAACCTAGCTGGGTTGTGCATAATCCTGGCTGGGCTGGGCTAGGCATGGTCACGGCTGTGCTGGGTATGACTCCAGCTGGGCTGTACATGGTCCTGGCTGGGTTGTGCATGGTCCTGGCTGGGCTGAGCATGGTCCTGGCTGGGCTGGGCATGGCCCTGGCTGGGCTGGGCATGGACTTAGCTGGGCTGGGCATGGTCCTAGCTGAGCTTGGAATAGCCCGGCTGAGCTGAGCAGATCAGCCATTTTCAGGAAGAAGAAAGCAGAACTCTGCCAATAGACTGGCTGAGCCTTTTACAAAAACAACAGACCAAAAATACTACAAAACCACACTGTGCAGAACTGTGGCAGACCAGACCTGGACAGGATATGAGGCCAACAGCTCGGGAGGAAGTGCCTGGCCCCTGCTGTGTGGCCCAGCCCTGGTTCCTAGAGAGTCTGGAGCCTTGGAGGGTCTCCCTGAGCAGGTGGACTCTGACCACCCCACGAGCTCACTCCAGGACCGGTGTGCAGTAGCTTGGGGTTTGTATTGGAGCAGGGGCTGATCTGATCAAATCTCACCCTGCCCGCCCTTCTCACTTTTCAGCCCCAACGGTTCTTCCTCACCCTGAGACAAAGACTGGAGCCACAGGTGTCCCTGCAGAGAGCCCTGCCTGAAGGGGCAAAAACTGGGCAGTATAGTCAGCGAGGGAGGTATTCACGCCCAGCTCTGCCACCTACCAGTTCTGTGTGACTTCAGGGGAGATCCTTAACCTCTCTGAGCCTCATTTCTTTACCTGTAAAATAAGAAAAAAAAAAAGCAAAACTCAGATTTACCACTGGGAGAGAGTGGCAAGATTTGAACAGAGGGCCTGATGTGTGCTTAGTCGGGCAAGGTCAAGTTCATCACTAACGTGGTATGCATGGGCCCAGTGTGGGGCAAGAACAGCACAGGCAGCTCCAAGAACTTTGGCCAGCAGCCAGGGGACACAAGGGTACAAAGCCCATGCCCCAGCCACACTGGGAGTCCAGCGAGCTCTGCTGGGCAACCTCTCACCACTTCCTGCCCTGGCGTCCGTGCCGAGTGCGCAAGCCATCCCAGGGGAGTTGCACTTGACTTGGAGAACTCACAGCAGCGAGGAGGAGGGATTCCCAGGGGCCATGGGGCTGAGGAATCAAGGACTCCCAAGGGTGCTGGGACTGAGGGCTACCGGCCTGAGGCCATGAAGGGTAAGAAGGGCTTGGGAGGACTGACCGAAGGAGGAAGCTGCCCTCCTCCTCCTGCCCCGACACCTGCTGTGCACCCAGCACCAGGGAAAGTGGTGGCACAGCAGTCCCAAGGGCAGTGAGGGAACTGGCTCCCCCACCAAGCAGAGGATCAAACCCAGGCTCAGAGAGAGGCGAGGACAGAACTGGGGGGCTGGAACCCAGAAAGCAAACCCAGGCCTTTCTCTCTCCAGACAGAGGGGGATGTGTGTGAGTGTGGTTCAGGGGTGTGCAGGTAAGTGTGTGGCTGGCACCCACAGCGGAGCTCACAGCTGGTCATGGAGCACGTTGTCAGGGGTAAGCGTGTTTCAATTCTGGAATATTTCTAAGAATCGCAGGAAATGGCTGGGCACGCTGTGGACGGAGAGATCCGCTGTGATACCCAGTGGATACAGCGGTTGCTTTTTTGGGGTCAGCAGCTGCTGGGAGGGGGCTTATCAAACAGTGTCACCAAATGTCTGAGGTCCCAGTTACAGTCCCAGCTGGCTGTGCTGTGGTCACTGCCAGGTGCGTGCAATGCTTTCCTGATCAGAGATACCAGGGAGGATTTTCTCATCGTTCCCTCGTCAGCTGCTGGCACCCTCTGCCAACCCAGCTGACCTCAGACACACACTCCATGCCGGGCACAGCCACCATCGAGGAAGGGGACACTGAGGTAGAGCTTCCGAGTGTCACCCTGCAGTGTCAAGAAGTCATTCCAAGCCCTGGATGATTCTGTGTCACTAATGTCCAGGAAGGCAGAAGGGCACGAGTGAGACCTGGAAACGTGCTCAGACACAGGGCAACGAGAGGGAGTTCTCCTCCAGGACTCCAATACCACAGCCTGGGCGCACCAGTCAGTCCCTAGCCTGTCTCAGGGGAAGTGGCTCTGAGCAAGGCTGGCCACTGAGGACAGGGAGAGACCGGCCCTGAAGAAGAGCGAGGTTGCTGCCGGGGCCGATGCACCTGCAGACACGGCAGAGCCTTCGGGAGGTGACAGGGAAGAAGGTCATCAAGCCAGGCCCTAACCTGATTGAACCAGGGTCCTCTAAGAAGAGGGGAGACACCCTGGCACCCCAAGTAGGGCTACACAAGGACGCAGTATAAAGCTGGCCTCCAGCAAGCCGGGAAGAGAATCCTAATCGAGGACCAAGTCTGCGGCACCCTGGTCTTGCATGTCCAGTCTGCAGGACTGGAGCGTGCACTTCTGCTGTTTCCGCAGTTGTGGCAGGCTGCACGTGCTCCCAGGAGCACCCCCATCTCGCAGAGGAGGAGGCTGAAGCCCAGGGTGGTTAGGAAGGATGCGCAGAGCTGAACAACCACTCCTGGGCAGACGGAGCCAGGCATCAAACCCGAGTGTCCTCTGCAGAGCGCAGGCATGCACGGCCAGTGACATCATGCCACGAAAAGGCATCATGCCCCCTCCCTACGGCAGGCTGTGCCTGCAGCTCCACCGAAAGTGGGCTTGCCCATGCCACCTGTTTTGGGCAACAGAGTCTGAGTGTTTCTGACGTGTGCCGCCTCCTGCCAGAAGCCTCCCATCTGGCACAAGCTTGGCGGAGCCCAGGTATTCAGCATCCTCAGCCGAGAACTTCGACTGAGAAGACTCACAGCACCTTGCACTGACCCTCGGCTCGCTCACTTGCCAGTCACTCAGCCTCTGGGCTTGCTCATTGGGTAGCAGCGCCTGCAAGCACAGGGGGCCTGTCAACACTTTTCTTTCTTCTCCCCACAGTTGTTTGACTTGCCACGACTGGGCAAGAGTCCAGAGGACTGCGTTCCACCCAGGCCCTGGCACCTAGCAGGCAGTGGCCATGCATGGCTGAGCTCCAGTTTCAGCACTGGCAAAATGTGGCTAGCAAGGAGGGGTGCCTGGTTCCAAAGCCTGGCAGATGGTGGGCTATGGCCAAGCTGGCAGTGACCAGGTGATGGTGTGATGGCTGGGGCTGCAGGGGAATGGACCAGAATCAAACACAGCTCTTTCAACACAGCGCTTCCTGGAAAGTGTTCCCCGTGGCCTTGTGATGTCCTCTATTGCTTTTCAGGTCATAAACAGGGAGCTGGATCATTAGTGGGGCAGCCAGGACACAAACCATGCCCATATGATATGACAGTGCCACAGGCAGAAGCTCAGCTCACTACACCATACAGCCTGCTCTGGTCCCAATCCCTTGCCTGAGAAAGGCAGAGGGCCACCTACACCTCTGGGTCTGGGGAGAGCAGTGGGCAGCAAACTGGGGCATCAATAATGTGGGGCACATAGTGGGCACTGGGAGACCTCCAGCTTTGCTCTTGGGGGCCCTTGTTTGTTGGTCCGTTTGCCCCCCACATCCTGAGAGGGCAGCATTGGAGGCAGTAGCCAGGTGGAGGAACAGGCTCCGACTTTAGACACTTCCTTAGAGGGCAGGGCTGGGCAGGGCATCCGAGGGAGGAGGTAGAAGGCAGCAGGGGCCTGGAAGGGTGCCACAGCAGGGCAAGCAGGAAAGGAGAATGCCAGTGTCCCGGGGGTATGCTTTTTTCAGATGTACTTATTTATTTTATTTGAAAGGCAGGGTTATAGACAGAGGGAGCTCTTCCACTTGCTGGTTCACTCCCCCAAAGGACCTCAACAACGGTGGGCAAAGCCGGCATCCTCTGTGCGCACCAGTTCTAATCCTGGCTGTTCCATTTCTGATCCAACTCCCTGCCAGTGCACCCGGGAAAGCAGCGGAAGATGGCCCCTGCCACTCACAGATGGGACCGGATGGAATTCTAGGCTCCTGGCTCTGCCTGACTCAGCCACTGGCAGAGTGAACCAGCAGATGGAAAGTCACCCTCTTTCTCTGTCCCTCCCTCTCATCTGTCTCATCAATGAAGCCAGCTCTTGGGACCTGAAGGACAAGTGACAAGGACGCTGTCCACCTGCCTGTGTGCGTGAACAGGAAAGATCCGCCTGTGGCTGTGGGAGCTCGTGTCCTTTCCCAGTGCCCGCCAGCAGGCTGTGTTAGCTTGTGGGCAGTGTGACATCTCGGGCTTTCCAGCCACTAGCCTCTGGGAGCTACTTTTAACTAGAAGTTAAGACACAGTTGCTCAGCCGTAGAGGCCCGACTTCTAGTGCTCCAGGTAGTCACTGGCTACTGAAGTGGACAGAGGCCATTCCCAGCACTGGGAGGGCTCCAGTGGACACCACTGGTCTAATGCATGATTTGGGGGCCACCTTTGGTCCGCTGGCTCTTGACTCTGAGACCTGCATGGTTCATCAGCCTCTCTGAACTCCACTTTCTTTTCTAGTATAGAACTGACCTCAGGCAGTTCTGGTGAGGTGTTCACAATACAACCGCAGCCCCATCCTGGCCTGAGATGAGGCGCCCGGCAGGGAGTCTATATGGAGCAAATGATGCTTCTTTTTCACATGTCAGAGGGAGTTGGTATGTATGGGCAACATCGAGACTGAATGGTTGGAAGGAAGCTGGTAAATTACAAAGGAACCCCACAAGTCAAGGCCAAAGTTTTGGCCCTGCCCTGGGGGCAGACGGGAGTCACAGAAGATAGTCGGGCAGATAGGGAAAGCTATTCCATTTGAGAAGTGTTTTGTAAGGGGGACCCAGGGAGAGGGTCCAGGCAGCTCGGTGTGTGAAGCAGACTGTGAGTGGCAGGAAGTCCCCGATTCCTGGCTGCAACTCCACTGCTCATCGGCAGGGGCACACCGGAGGAAAGCACCGCGTGACTGTGAAGATAAAGGCCAGTGCAGGCACGAGCAGGAAACCCAAGCTGCCTGGCCGTTGGGAGCTGTGGGACTCGCCTTCGGAGCAAGTGACTCCCTGTGACCTCGGAGTCACTCTACCAGTCCAGGTTTCAGGTGTTTGTTTCCTCAGCTGAGGTCAGGCTACCTGGAAGCTGCCATGCCAGGGATGCTCGGCTGGCACCTGCAGGGTGGGGGGGTGCAGCTGTGGCTAGGCTTCTAGAAGCTCACAGGGCACTCTTGGCCCCAGAGAACTGCCTGCTGGCCAGACAAGGGATGCCCTGTGTGGGAGGTGACCACACAGACTTTATCATCTCTCTGGGCAGTGCCCAGAAAGGGTTAAGGGGGCATCCGCTTCGGAGTGGGGCTGGCCTGTGGTGTGGGGCCTCCCCATGGCACCTGCTGAAGCTCAGCTCCAGCCAGGAGCACCTCTGCCCATCCCAGCCTCCCTGGCCCCTCCGTGAAACACCTTCTCGGTGGCATCATTCGTGGGCGCTGGATCCCTGCCTGGGGCCCTGCGGAGCCTTGCATGGTTCAGCACTGAGCTGATCCGTGTGAGAGCCTTGTCAAGCACAGGGACTGTCCTTACTGCCTGGTGCAGACTCCTGGTGTATTAGCAAGAACCAGAGCTGCGGGTTGTTTAGCAAAGAATCACAGGGTCCCCAGGACACATCAGGCCCATTCTTGGGTGCTGACAATTCAACAGTGAACAAAGTTCCTCTCCAGGTGGAAGCTTAAATAGAACTGCCCAGTTCCTGGCAAAGGCTCCTGAAGAAAGCACCCTGGGACTTCGGGACAGGCTGCTTGATGTGCTGTAAGAAATAAAGTGTCC